TTGCTGTTTCCCTTTTTAGTCATCAGCCACTGGCACTGTTGTCCATGCAGCCCTTGGTGAGCAGCACCGGTTTTTAGGTTAATTCTCAGGTCTTAACACAACTTGGAAATATTCAGGCTGCCTGTGCCATCAGGACAGCTGACAGTCTGCAGCTCCATTTGTCTCCTTACTCACTGTTTTCATTCAGGTTCTTTTACTACTTGGTGTTTAATCTACTTATGTATCCTTCCTTTCAAAGCTCAAGGCTCCAAGGTTGTCTTCTGTATCTGTGTCAATTGGTTTCTCTTTTCTTTGTTGAAGAGAATCTGTGTAGCTTGTCTGCCTATTCCACCATCTTACCAAAAGTCTCCTTTTGCAGCCGATTTGCCAAGTGCAACATATCATCTGATTTCTTGACTGCTGCTTCCATTGGTGTTGATTGTGGAACTGAGTAATATGAACTCTTTGACAACTTCCATCTTTTCTCCATTTATCATGATGCTGCTTATTGGCAGAATAGCTAGTCACATTTGCAACCTCTGCCCTGCCCCAGGATTGAGGATCTCAATGGTTTGCCTGTAGAACCCTAGAATGACAGAACCCCCAATACCATGAGTAGACTGCCAGAACTGGAGGACATTCCCATTATCAAGTGTTCACATTATAGACTCCAGGTTTGAAACATGAAACATTCAGAGATTCACCTCTCTTTGAATCAATCAAGAGAGACCTAAGAGATGAGATGACCCCATCCTCAGCAAGCTGCTTCTTAACAGGGAAGCTCTTATGAGGAGCTTGTAATGTAAAACAGACCCCATCGGAGCCAGTTCAGAACCTGTAGGTCTTGAAATCATTGGGATCCCACCCATCTTACTGAGTTTCCCCATTATTGAGATGGAGAAATTGAAGCTCAGAAAAAGGAACTGGCTGGCCAAAGGCATAGCAAACTGATGTACCAGGCCAATGTTGGCTAGTTGTAGCCTCCATGCTTAGGACACCAGTACCTTCTTGAGCTGTCCCTCCTCCTCTTATCAAAATCTACTCCCAGAAAAAAAAAAAAAAAAAACCTGAAACTCATTCACACCACGGTGTCCAGAACTGAAGACAGCTTACTCCTCCCAGGTAGTCTAAAGGGATTGAAGGTTTTAGTTAAAGGAATACAGCCCAAGTGGAGGGATTTCAGGCATTGTCCAATAAATATAATTGGACAGAGGGTGGAAGACCAGGAACTTTCCTATGGGTCCTAGAATCACACTGTGCCATGCCTACTTGTTCTGTATGTGGATATCCCAGGTGGCCACTCCAGCATGGAAAGGTGCAGGGCCATATTTCCAAATGCTTAGAACACTGTACTGGGTTCTCGGGGTCCAGGAGTTGCCCTGAAGCAGCCGCTTGGTCTTAGGGAGGCCTCAGTCACCCCATCTATAAAATGGACATAACTCAGCTCTAGGCTCCCTATTCTCACAGCACAAACAGGACATGTGGGTCTCCAGGGCTTACTCACACTAACAGACCAAGCAGATGTTCAGTGTCATAGGGAATGAGCCATCCCCAGGCTCTCCCTGACCATAGGTCTCAGCCAGTCTGGGCCCCCAGTAGAGGTCTTGCTGCTGCCATCTGAAGAGGCTCAACACCCAAACCCCGTGAGGAAAATGGTGCTCTGCCCATACGTGAGTAGTTAAGACTATTTGAATCCCAGGACCAGAGAGCTCTTGTGCTCTGTGAGTTGCTAGACCTGTGCCCTTTTTATCACTCTCCCCAGACCCAGAGTGGGGCCTCAATAAATAGTGGTTGAATGAATGAATGAGCAACAGAACATTAGAATCCTAGAACCATATAGCATTAGACCACTATTAAATACAATTGTTAATTGCCATTGAGTCAGCCCCATGCACAGCTCATGATGACCCCATGCACAACAGAACAAAATGCTGCCCAGTCCGGCACCATCTCATGATCAGTTGGGGACCAGACCTGTGCTCCATAGGGTTTTCATTGGCTGATTTTCAGAAGTAGATTGCCAGGCCTTTCTTCCTAGTCCATCTTAGTCTGGAAGCTTTGCTGAACCTGTTCAGCATCGTAGCAACACACAAGCCTCTACTGACAGGCGGGTGTGACTACACTTGAGAATTGATCAGGACTCAAACCCTTGGGTCTCCCACATGGAAGGCAAGAATTCTACCACTGAACTACCACTGCCCCCTTGTTAGACCACTAAACCCCAAAAAATGTAGCATCAGAATGTTCCAGTCCTCCAGCCCCAGCATGTTAGTAGTACTATTCTGGGGACACTTCCTGATGATCCCTTCTGAAGAGTGAACTGAAGGCCAGAGATCTGATGAGGGTTGTGTGTCCCTTGCCTCAGCTGTTCTCATTAAGCTGACCCAAATCCAGCTCACTGGCAAGACTGGCATGGCATAGCCCCAGGGCCCATTCAGGCTGCCTTCTCCTGGCAGCATCTCAGGCCAGGCTCATATAATCAGGCATGTCACCTGCATTCATTGGGCAAAAAGATTGTAGTATGGTTGGTGGTCTAGAACACCAGGCCCTGAGGGATAGGAATCAGGCCTAGTCTATTCCCCAAGGTGCCAGGGCCCAGTGGCATGCTGTGCCAGTGAACAGGTGACCCTGATGTGGCAAAGACTGTATTAGCAATGAGGAGAAAAAGCCTCTCCCTGTGCAGAATGGTGGGAACAACTAGTTAGTTGAGGGCCCTGAGAACAGGGTACACTTAGTGGAGAATGAAGGAAAGGGAATTATTGGCAGACTTAACGGCATGGACAAAGGAATGGAATGTGAAGGAAGTTTGTTATGGAAAAGTATATGGCACACCCAGAGACGTGGGATGACACAGGGTAGCACTGAGGAAGGAGAGAAGCAAGAAGAAGTGCTGTCCCTGGAGGGAGCCCAGGAGACAGCAAGACCGAGGAAATTCCTCCCCAGCTAAACTTTCCTCTATTTTTGTCCCCCTGCCCAAATGTCCCCATGAAGTACCAGACTTCTTTTTCAAGGGACATATACACCTGGGGATCTGCCTCATGGTTTCAGAGGGCAGGAGAGACTAGTCATGCGGGAGAGACACAGAATGGCAGAAGTATGGCAGAAGGAGCATCCATGGCTGCAGAGGTGGCCCTTGGTTTGGCTGCTGTCTTAGTTCCTAGCACTGTTGTAACACAATACCACAAGTGGGTGGGTTTAAAGGACAGACCTTTATTTTCTCACAGTTCTGGAGGCTAGAAGTCCAAACTCAAGGTGTGGCTCTAGGAGGAGTTCCTTCATTCTCTATTTCAGCTTCTAGTAGCTGCCCGCAGTTCTTGGGGTTCCTGGGTTTGTAGATGCATCTGCCTCCTTCATCCTCAGATAATGTCTGTCTTCCCCTTGTGTCTGCATGCCTCTGTGTCTATGGTGCTCTTTATACAACTCAGAAGTGAACCCCAGCCTGATGCCCTCAACTCTCTGAGACTCAGTTTCCTCTTCTGTAATGGGGACAATGATCATACCTTACCCAGAGGGTGGTTGTGGGCATCACAGGAGATAATTTAGGATCTACCCTACACTAGTATGATCTCAACTGATTGATTACATTACATTATATTATATTGCATTCTGTTACATTAGATTGCATATGGCAGATGATTACATTACATTCACAGGTACAGTGGTTAGGATGCTAACACATATAACACAACAGCTGGTATAACATCAGAGAGTGAAAAGGGAGACTGCAAACACAGCCTAGGAGTCAGGTCAAGAGTGCCAGGCTGAGATATGTGCACTTGATTCTGAAGACAACAGGGAGCCCCTGAGGGCTATTGAGCCGGGAATGAGGATCAGATGTTGAGAGTTTAGAAGAATTATCTGGTAATTCTCAGAGAGTTTAGAAGAATTATCTGGTAATTCTGAGAGAGTTTAGAAGAATTATCTGGTAACAAATGGTGGGTTGGAAGTGGAAGCCCATACACTCTGGCCCAGCCCCACAAAATGAGGTTTCATCTCTTTAGACCTCGCTTTCCTTGTCCATAAGCCAAAGTGATAACCACTAACACTGAATGAGCATCACCACCCACCCAGCATGCTCCAAGCACATCACTGTGTCCACCGGACAGTCAGCTCCTTGGGGCTGGGCTTTGTCCTGAGCACTGCTGTCTATCCTAGTGTCTGAAACAGTGATGAGTATATATAGTAGGTGCTCAATAAACACTTGACTGCATGTATTGTCTCCTGTGACGTTCATAACCACCCTATGTAAGAAGTATTGTCCCAATTACAGAAGAAGAATTTGAGGCTCAGAAAGCTAAAGGCATCAGGCTGGGATTTGAACGCTGGCAGGGTCTGTGCTCTTAGCCATTAGCTGTGCTCACCAGGGAGGGCAAGCAGAAACCCAAGCAGGAGTAGAAGTGCAGGGTGCAGTGGGGCACAGTGGTGTGCATTCACTGCCTGTGGCTTACAACAAAAATGGATTCTCACTCCAGTTCTGGAGGCCAGAAGTCTGAAATCAGGGCTGTCAGCCAGGTCGTGTGCTCTCTGATTCTCTAGAGGAGAATCGTTTCTTGCCTTTTCAAGCTCCTGGTGGCCCCAGATATCCTTAGCTTGTGGCTGCCTCACTCCAATCTCTGCTCCATCTTCACATGACTGTCTCCTCTTCTCTGTGTGTCCCTTATAAGGACGCTTGTCATTGGATTTGGGGCCTGCTGGATAATCCAGAATGATCTCATTCTGAGACCCTTAAGTTAGTTACATCTACAAAGACCATTTTTCCAAATAAGGTTCTACTCACAGGTTCTGGGAATTAGGACATGGATATATCTTTGAGGACCACCATTCATCCCCCTGCCTAGTATCTCCTTTTTCACAGGGAGGCTGCTCTGGGCCCCCAGGCAGCAGAGAATTTGAGTGCCTGCAACCTTTCTGCTTTGGCCTTCCATCCCACCCCTACCACCCATCCCCACTAGGGGACAGTTCCTGGTAACACATGCGTCTCTCCCAGGCCTCCAGTTGACCTCTCTGCACTCTGCCCACAGGTTTGCCAGGCACTGCTCCAGATCTGGAAAAGAGAAAGCAGATTTTCGGGCAAAACTTTATACCTCCAAAGAAGCCAAAAACCTTTCTGCAGCTCGTGTGGGAAGCACTGCAAGATGTGACCCTGATCATCCTGGAAATTGCAGCCATCATCTCCCTGGGGCTCTCCTTCTACCATCCACCAGGCGAGAACAATGAAGGTAAGCCGTGGGATCTCCCCACCTCTCCTGTCAGGTGAGGAACCAAGGCCCAAGGGGAAGTGCCTCACCCACAGCCAACTGGTGGCCCAGCCAGCCTCATTCAAGGCATCTGACCCACAGCTCTCCCTTTTGTGAAACGCAGGGGTGAGCTGGACAAGAGTGCTTCTTGAGCACTTATTATGTGCCAGGCCCTGGGCTGAGATGGTGGTGTAGTGCCTCAGGCATTTGACTGCTAACCAGAAGTCTGGAGGTTCAAACCCACCAACCACTCCTTGGAAGATTGGGCAATCTACTTCTGTGGAGATACCACCTCAGAAACCCAAGGAGGGGTAGCTATGAGTCATATTCGACTCAACGGCAGTGAGTTTGGTTTTGGTAACAACCCTATAAGGTAGGGGCCATGATTAAAACGCTCCCTCCATTTATTTATTTGTTTGTTTGTTTGTTTGTTTTTGTGCTTTGGGTGCAAATTTACAGAGCAGAATTTTTTTTTTTACATTCAACAGTTCATGTACATTTGGTTTCACTCCCCAATTACCATCCTTAACCCTAACCTACTCTGCTCCTCTCCCTTCCCAGTGACCCCCCCATCCCTGTGCCCTTCTTAGTTATACACTCCTGTCTATCCAGCTTTCCCTCCATGTGAATGCTGCCCCTCTGGCTCCAAGGGGTGTATCTCCATAGAGTAAGTGGATGCATTGCCCTGGGTTGGGTGTTCTGCATGTAAGTCAGGAAACTATGGCACAGAGAAGTGCTCTACTTGCTCGAGGTCACCCAGCTTACAAAGATTTTGCATTTGTTAAAAGCACTGATGGCAGGGCCTCTCCCTGGATAAGGAGTAGGGTGGCCTACAGGGATAGCTGGATGCTAACAAGTAAGGTGATAGTGGCCCCCAGAGGCTGTCCAAGCTGATCTCTGAGGGCTCAGTTTCGCTTTCCTATGGCTGCCGAAACAAAGTACCACACACTAGCTGGCTTTAAATGATAGAAATTTATTGTCTCATAGTTAGGCTTAAAGTCGAAATTCAGGGTGTTGGCAAGGCCACTTTCTCTCTGAATGCTCTAGGGGAAGAGCCTTTATTTTATTTCTTTTTTTAAAATTTTTATTGTGATTTGGGTGAAACTTTACAGAGCAAATTCATTTTCCATATGGCAGTTCATACACATTTTGTTTCAAGACATTGATTCTAATTCCCCACAATATAACAGCTCTCTTCCCACTTCCTCCCTATAGTTACCTCTTCTCTGTGTCCTTCCCTCCCATGTAGTCCCGCCCTCTGAGCTGTCTCCCTGGGCAAACACTGCCCTTCTGTTCTCCTATGATTGATTGCTCCAAGGAGTGTATCTACCTGATGTAAATGTTCACCCCATATGCCTGTCTGTTGTTTGGCTGGAAGCCTTAGGAGTGAGTTTAGTCCCAGACCTGAGGGGTAACTAGGGGTCATAGTCTCAGGGGTCTCACTAGGCTCTATCAGACCAGCCAACCAGGCCTTTCTTTTATGGTTGTGGGTTTTGTTCAACATTGTTCTCCCACTCTATCCAGGATCTTCTGCACTGACCCCATCTCCGAGTGATTGACAGTGATAGCCAAGCACCATCTAGTTCTTCTGGCCTCATAGTCATATAGGCTGAGAATTGGACTAATTGTTTCCATGTGTCTTTGCTTTTCTTTATTCTTCTTTGCTCTGAACAAGAAGAGACCCATTGTTGCATCTAGATGGCCATTTTCAAGCTTTTAAGACCCCAGCTGCTACTCACCACAGTAGGATGTAGAACAATGTTTTTGTGTAGAATGTTATGCCAGTTGAGCTCAATGGGGGAAGATCCTTTCTTGTCTCTCTGGTAGCCTCAGGCATTCCTTGGCTTGCAGCTACAGCATAACTCCTTCTTCATATGGCCATCTCCTGTCTATCTGTCTGTCTCTCTGTGTCTCTTTTTTATAAGACATCACTCAGCTTGGATTAGGATTCACTCAGCTCTGGTATGACCTCATGTTAACCTCGCTGATAAGATCGTATTTCCAAATAAGGTCACATTAACAGGTACCAGGAGTTAGGACTTCAACATATCTTTTTGGGGGTATACATTCAACCCAACTCTTAGGACAAAGGCCCAGAATTGCTTTTCCCACGGTCTGCAAGAACTGTCTCTCCTTTGATGGTGCTTCAGCCCTGTTCACTGAGGCATCATGGGTCCCCTGCCCTTTGGGCCCTCCAGCCTCTGAGGGACCCTAAATCAGCTGCAAAGCTGGGCTTCTCCCTAGGACCTCCAGATGACTTGCTCTTTGAGACCTATGATTGTGGAGAAACTCATGATAGGAGAGAAAAAAAAAAATTATGATGATGTCACAGTTCTTTGCCCCTGATCTTCTAGAATGGGGGCTGGCCAACTACAGTCTATAGGCCAAGTCTGTCCCACTTCTTGTTTTTGTGTGACCTTTGACGTAAAAATGGTTTTTGCATTTTTAAATGGTTGGGGGAAAAAAACAAGAATATTTTGTGACACATGAATATTATATGAAATTCAAATGGCATCACCTAAAAATAAAGTTTTATTGGAATACTCCCATTTCATTCCTATATTGTTTGTGGCTGTATTCACACTATAACAGCGTAGTTGAGTAGTTGCAACAGAGGTTGTATGTATGGTCCACAAAGCCTAAAAAGTTTACTGTCTGACCCTTTACGGAAAATGTTTGCCAGTCCTGCCCTAGTAGATCAGGATGGGACATTTTGCCTCTGGAAAACTGTTCTCTCTCTATTCCCCACCCCCACATCCCATCTTTGTCTCCCTCTACCTCCTTTCTTCTTTCTTTCCCTCCCTTCTTCCCTCCCTCTCCCTCTCTCATTTCCCTGTTTCTCTTTCCTTCTCTCATTCCTTCTCTCTCCCTTCACATCTCTCTCCCCCTTCCTCTCCTTCTCTCTTTCTCGCTTCATATCTGTGTGTGTGTGTGTGTGTGTGTGTGTGTCTAAAGCCATCGAAGACACAGTCTCTGAAGTCAGACACACCTGGGTTGGTGCAATCCTGCCACCATGACTCCCCAGCTGTGTGACCTTAAGCAAGGAGGTTTCCTTCCCTGAGCCTCAGTCCCCTCCTTTTCTGTGACACACAGCAAGGGATGCTCTCTGGCAGAGGAGCACTCTGCTCTGCCCTAAGCATGGCAACTCTGGGCTTCTTTCTCTGGGTCTTTGTCTCAGATTCTGCTGTTTGAGCCTTGCCTGAGAAAGCCTCTCGATGCCTCTGTGTCCCCACTCCCCTTCACTTTCACGTGTCCTGGCATTAGCTCCGTGTGATAATACACACACCGTGAGGTTGATGTGAGTGTGTTTTCCCATACAAGGAGATTTAGTCTCAAGAGAGCACCCTGAAATCTGTTTCCAGATTCTGAATGCAGACACTGCTCTGTGGGCCAAAGCAGCACCGTCTAACCCACCCCAGAGGATTCCACGTTCACCCCTCCTCTCAAAGTCAGGACTTGGGCTCCTGAGGGAAACCTTTGCCTCCAGTCATGCTGCATCCCCAAAACATTCCTGAGTACTGCCTGCTGTAGTGCTTCCCCTGTACAATGATGGTGGTGAATGCTACTTTCAATTAAAAAACCCACAATTTTCATACTACAACAGTCATATGAGGTCCCTGTAGGAAAAAAAAAAAAAAAA